TTGTTTATTGGCTGAAGTTAGGTGGCATAAATATTAAATTTAATAAATAATTTGGAATATTCTGGAAGTAAAGAATCCACCTGGAATGGGACTTAAACTCACAACTCCCACTTACCATGTAGATGCATTGCTATTTACACTACTTGGACTTCCGTTTAATCTTTTCTTTCAGACATATTTAATTAAGATATAACCATCCTCGGTTACTTACGGCACCGAATGGGGAGCCTTCAATGCCCACATCCTATAATCACCTACTATGGCACTCAGTCGGTCAACACTAAGTGCCACAATAGGTGATTATAGGATGTGGGTGCTGAAGGCATCGCCAGGCACTGTAAGTAACGAAGGATGGTTGTATCTAAATTAAATATGTCTATAAGAGAAGATTGGACAGTGGTTCAGGTAGCATAACTGGCAATGCATCTGGACGGTAAGCTGGAGTTGTGGGTTTGAGTGGGTTATCCAGGCTGATTTTTTTCTTCCAGAATATTCTAAAATGTACAAATAATAGCATCGCAAAGCCCGAGTAGTATATAATAAATCATCAAACGATCACCTAAATATCGGGCTATAATATGGCTAATTAAATGATTGGTATGAAGTAATTTGACACTAGAGGTAGACGTTAGGCGCCATCTTTTAAGTATAATTTTTTTAATTTAATTTTATTAATTTACTTAAGAGATGGCGCCTAACGTCTACCTCTAGTGTCAAATTACTTCATACCAATCATTTAATTAGCCATATTATAGCCCGATATTTAGGTGATCGTTTGATGATTTATTATATACTACTCGGGCTTTGCGATGCTATTATTTGTACATTTTAGAATATTCTGGAAGAAAAAAATCAGCCTGGATAACCCACTCAAACCCACAACTCCAGCTTACCGTCCAGATGCATTGCCAGTTATGCTACCTGAACCACTGTCCAATCTTCTCTTATAGACATATTTAATTTAGATACAACCATCCTTCGTTACTTACAGTGCCTGGCGATGCCTTCAGCACCCACATCCTATAATCACCTATTGTGGCACTTAGTGTTGACCGACTGAGTGCCATAGTAGGTGATTATAGGATGTGGGCATTGAAGGCTCCCCATTCGGTGCCGTAAGTAACCGAGGATGGTTATATCTTAATTAAATATGTCTGAAAGAAAAGATTAAACGGAAGTCCAAGTAGTGTAAATAGCAATGCATCTACATGGTAAGTGGGAGTTGTGAGTTTAAGTCCCATTCCAGGTGGATTCTTTACTTCCAGAATATTCCAAATTATTTATTAAATTTAATATTTATGCCACCTAACTTCAGCCAATAAACAAAAATTTTGAATTGATACTGACACGGTTTCAAGAATGTTAAAAAATTTTGAATTTATGTTTCAGCAAATTTGTAAAAAAATTAACTTTTTATCTGTTTCATGTTTAATCTAGTTTTGACACTTTCAAAATGGTACAAATTACTGTAAAAATTTAGCAATGAGTTACATAACTTTCGCAGTGAAAAATACTTATGTTTAAGAAACAATAAGCCATATTAGCAAGAAATAAAAATCTGTTAATAATATGAAAGTTATTTTTTAATAAAACTTATTAATTATTATAGAAAGACAAAAGACTTTATTTTGAAGGTAGAATAAGTTTTTTAAAACATTGTAAATGGCTATAATGAGTGAAATTTCCTCAAGTCCGATCCAACTTGTGATATCACACACGACCTCTCGACTTTTTATCATCAAAATGCAAGCTAATAGCATCAACGCCCTTATATAGGAAGTTACCGTGCCAAATTTCATTTTTTAATCTTTATCCAATATTGAGTTATTAAACAAAACAGATGCCAACACACACACAGAATTTTCCCCTTTTTACTATTTTGGGTTCAGAAGTCTCAAAACATTGAAATCTGATCTGGTCAGAGGGTGAAATTTGCCATGATTATAATACTTTCCTGTGTTATACAGATAACTGCCATGAAAGTAAAACAAAAATTTTCCTACTATAATAAAAGATTTTATAATTTTTCTTTTCGGCTTTCTAGGAATGGAATTTTCTTTATGACACACAACTCTATTGTTATGCATTTTTATACATATTAAGGAATGCATTATGTCTGAAAGTCTATGAATATACAATAATTTATTTATTAATAAATTACTTTACCTGCAATATCATTTTCTTCTGTATTTGATTTTTCATTTTTGACATTTTCGTCAATCTCTGCCATTCTGTAAAAAAAAAGAAATATTTATTAACTTTGACATTACTTATCGTTTCTAATATGAGATAGTAAGACACACATCCTCATCTATTTCAAAAACATCTACTAATTGTCTATTTCATTAAGCAATTTTCATTTTAACNTCACTGGTGATGTTTAGTAGTTTGTTTCTTGGACACCATTAGTCCTCTCTTCCTATCTCTAAGTTTATAGAACAGACTGGGACAATTTTGGTAACTTTAAAAGTCAGCAGTTGAGGAGAAGGAAAACTATTTTGTTCTGTAAATTATAAGAGGTATTTTTGACCCATTATGTAGATAGTACCTGGATTTGAACTTGAACTAATGAAAATGTTCCAAGGGGTTTTAAGGATAATCAAATTAGTTTAGGATATTTTTAAAATTTATATTTTTATATTAGAGTTTGTAATTATTTGTTTTATTAATAACCAGCATTGCCAGTCCAAACAGGAAAATGGCTAAACATTAAAAAGAAAACCACATTACAAATTTAGTTATTTTAGCTTACAATTGTTATGTTTATCATGAAGTGTTGAGGAGATCAAATCAGGGGAAGAGTGGGATGTTCAGATTTCATGGAAGTTTGTATTTTCCCCAGTCCTAGAGAATAAATATGAAAAATTTGATGCAAATCAGACAAAGGGTTTAGGAATTAATAGGAGGGATGAAATCAGAAGAGGGGTAAGGTGTCCAGGTTTTGTGATAGTCTATATCAGGGGTCGGCAACCTTTCAGCGGGTGTTGTGCCCAACGTAAGTTATAGTATTATTCCGAGTGTCGACATGATTCTATCAAGTTTATTATATATGTTATCAAAATTAGACTAGATATAACGGACTTCAAAATCGTACAATTTTGAAGTTAAGTTGTTAATTGAATTATGTTCTTACATGTGAAGTGCTTGCATAATACGTGGATGGCTACGTGGAACGTAAACGCATGTGCTGTAATAGAAATACATAGTATACAAAAATTTTATTCATTTTTAATATACCACGGCCTTTGCTGAACTATGACTTCTGTTTAAATGTGTAATTAATAATTAAAATATACTGTACATATAAGACGAGGTTTTCATTCATTTTTTACCGCTTCAAAAACCTAGGTCCTATATGCGCGAGCGAAGGATTCTTTTCCTTTTTTGCAATAATTTCTGTAAACCATGTATAGTTTATGCTGCCATTATAGGTTTACAGTCTATTTATCATAAGTTGGCACCTACTGTAAACAAATTAAGACTTGCCTCACTGTGTTTATTGGTTTAATCCTATGTCCATCAATTAAAAACCATGTTGCATCTCATTCGTCCGCAGAAAATAGTTCCTCATTATTTAAAAAATTATTAATGAACACAGGTCACTTAGCAATGATTATAAATGTAATTATTTCATATTAGTTAAACTGTTAGTTTTAATGAATATTAGCACATTTTAAATCATTAAAAGTAAACTTTTTCTGGTCATGTGCATTATAATGTTTTGGTTTTATTTTCCATTCATCACATTAAGACAAACATGTTTGTTTGCCTTAATATGTGCATTTGATGGTAATTTATTTGTAATTAANAATTAAGGGTCTCGATCCCAATTCTATGTACAATGTAGCATTGGTGTTTGTTTCCGTAGATAAATACAAATGGAGATATATGAACGGATTTTGGTTCACTACAGGACCCGCAGAACCTCAACCATCACAAGACGATCAGATGACGTACATTCATCCAGAATCTCCAAACTTCGGAAGTCATTGGATGTCAAAGGAGATTTCCTTTTCAAAAGTTAAATTAACGAATAAATGCAACAAGACAAATGGAGTAAGAAAATATTTACGTGACTCAGTTAATAGTTTCTTCATAATTTTCTATACGAATTAACTTTATT